CAAAAATGTGGTCTTTCATCGTCACGTGCGTATTGTATTTTTCTCAAGTCAACCAATAGGAATGTTCAAAATGTCCTATTGTTAAAGTCATGGATGGGAAATTGGACAAAACCGTTGCTATTGGCTGGTTGAGCAAAAATACAATACGCACGTGACGATGCATGAAAGACATAAACCTGAACAAAAACATAGATAGTGAGGTTTATTGTAATGCTATAATGAGTTTCCAAACCATCTCTCCATTAACTATGGTTGCTCATACTCCAGAAAAACCATGAAAGTGGCCTTATAACTGTCATTAATAGGTCGTTAATTAATGGTGTTTTTGACATTAGTTGGTTTATATTCAATTTAGGACAATAGACAATTTAGGTTATTTAGATTTATTCAAATTTGCATGACATATGTTGTTGTTGTTGTTGTAAAAGTTTTTTAGTTAGAAATACATTTATCGCAAAACAGCGCTCGGATTGTGGTGAGTTTGTCTACAGGTTATGGGCCCAGAACATGCTGTTAGGATCGTTTAACAATCTTACGTCGCCGGTTTTTCGATAGAACTTCAGTTTGCTGAACAAATAACGCTTGTAATAATAACTCGTGCTGGTCTGTTGACGACTAATGGAGGGAAAATGGTCAATCGACAAGTTAGACGGGAGCAATTGGAGTACTTGGAAGTTTCAAATGAAGCATTTGCTGTTGGCGAAAGGGCTGTGGGGTTTCGTAGACGGTTCGGAAGAGCTAGCAGGGTCAGCTCCGGGAGAAACGGCGGCACAATTTCGTTCGAAAGCGCAAAGGGCGTTCTCGACAATTGTTTTAGCAATTAAATCAGCTCAGCTATATTTGGTTAGCTCATGTGATTTCCGAACGGAGATGAAAGAAGGAACTTCTATGGAGAAACATTTGAAACACATGAAGGACATCGCGGATAAATTGGCAGCTATCGGTGCACCTATCTCTGAAGAGGATCAAGTTGTGACTTTATTAGGAAGTTTGCCGAGAAGTTATGCAACTCTTGTAACCGCCTTAGAAGCCAGAGTTGATGATGTGAAAATGGACTTCGTTCAACAAGCTCTTATGCATGAAGAATCGAAGCAAGGACCTAAGAACGAGTCAGTTAAGAATGAGTCTGCCTTAATGG